AGGAGAAGGAGAAGGAGGAGAAGGAGGGGAAGGATGAGCAGGAGGAGGCGGAGGAGGATGAGGAAGAGGAGGAAGGATATACGGATGATGATGATGATGATGATGATGATGATGATGATGATGATGATGATGATGACGATGCTGCTGATGATGATGATGCTGCTGATGATGACGATGCTGCTGATGATGATGATGATGGTGGTGGTGATTATGATGATGATGATGATGATGATGATGATGATGCTGGTGGTGGTGATGATGATGGTGGTGAATGTGGTGGTGGTGATGATGATGATGGTGGTGATGGTGACAGTGATGATTGTGATGATGATGCTGCTGATGATGAGACTGCTGATGATGATGGTGATGATGATGGTGGTGATGATGATGATGATGATGATGATGACGATGGTGATGCTGTTGATGATGATGGTGGTGGTGGTGATGATGGTGGTGGTGATGATGATGGTGGTGATGATGATGACGATGGCGATGCTGATAGTGATGATGCTGATGATAATGCTGATGATTGTGATGGTGCTGATGCTGATGATGATGATGATGATGATGATGATGGTGATGATGATGATGATGATGATGATGATGATGATGCTGATGATGATGATGATGATGATGATGATGATGGTGGTGGTGGTGGTGGTGGTGGTGGTGGTGGTGATGGTGGTGGTGGTGATGATGGTGGTGGTGATGATGATTTTGATGCTGATGGTGATGGTGATGGTGATGATGATGGTGATGGTGTTGATGATGGTGATTGTGATGGTGATGGTGGACAGGATGATGGTGATGAGGATGATGAGGAGGAGGAGGAGGAGGAGGAGGAGGAGGACAGGCAGGAGGACGGGCAGGAGGACGGGCAGGAGGAGCAGGGGGAGGAGACAGACAGAGGAGGAGGAGGAGGAGGAGGAGGAGGAGGAGCAAGGGGAGGAGACAGACAGAGGAGGAGGAGGAGGAGGGTGAGAAGGTGGCGGACAGAAAGGGAGGAGGAGGAGGAGCAGGGGGAGGAGGAGGAGGAGGAGGAGGAGGAGGAGGAGGAGGAGGAGGAGGAGGAGGAGGAGGAGGAGGAGGAGGAGACGGCCAGGTTCTCTTCCTCTCGCCCACGAGGGAGCTCGCGGAGCAGAGCCAGAAGGTGTGCCTGGCCCTCGGGGACTACCTGAACGTGCAGGTACACTGCTGCATCGGCGGCAAGCGGGTCTCGGACGACATCCACACCTTCGAGGCAGGGGTCCACATCGTGTCTGGCACGCCGGGGCGCGTGTTTCACATGATCCAGCAGAGGCACTTCAGCACCCGCAAGATCAAGATGCTGGTCCTGGACGAGGCGGACGAGATGCTGAACCGGGGCTTCAAGGAGCAGTGCCCGGCGCCCCTCGCTGCCCGGGGGCGGAAGAGGGACGTACACGTGCATGAACCCCCGTTGGTTTCGGAAAGACGCATTGCGCGAACATTCGAAGAACGAGGCTGGTCTCGCGGACTAGGGGGCTGCATTCATGTGCGTGATTTGGCGCATGCGTCCTTTGTGGGCTCCCTAGGTATGCTCCGCCCCTCCTCCTCGTCCTCCTGGCGCTCCCGCTGCTCCCATGCTCCTCCTCTCCCTTCTCCTGCTCCTCCTCCTCCTCCTCCTCCTCCTCCTCCACCTCCTCTCCTCCCTCCCTTTCTTTCTGCCCCCGTCGATCACCCGTCCGTCCCTGCCCCTTCCTCCCCATTCTCCTCCACCCTCCTCCTCCTCCTCCTTCCTCCTCCTCCTCCTCCCTCTCCTCCTCCCTCTCCTCCTCCTCCTCCTCCTCCTCCTTCTCCTCCTGTTCCTACTGTCCCTCCTCAAGGTTACTGCCCATAAGGGGACTCCCTGAGGTTTCTTTCTGAATTTCGTCCTGCGACTCCTGACTCCTGACTCCTGCTTTTCCCTCCAACAACACCAGAACTCCTCCTCCTCCTCCTCCTCCTCCTCCTCCTCCCTCCTCCTCCGCTCAGCCCTCTCCCTCCTCCTCCCTCCTCCTCCTCCTCCTCCTCTCCTCCTCCTCCTCCTCTCCTCCTCCTCCTCCCCTCTCTCCTCCTCCTCCCCTCCTCCTAATCCTCCTCGTCGTCGTCGTCCTTTTTCTTCTCCTCCTCCTCCTCCTCCTCCTCCTCCTCCTCCTCCTCCTCCCCCTCCTCCTCCTCGTTTTTCGCTGCCCGTCACCCGCCGCAGCGCGTTGCATTCGACAATGTTTGCCTCCGGCGTGCCGACGCAGCATCTTCCTCCATCGATCGTCCTTGCGTAGGCGACGCACGACGCTGGACTACCTTGCGCGTGTCTGCTCTCCCTCCTCGCTTACTGCTCAAAGCGTTGGATTCGCTGGCGCCAGCAGGCGAGCAGTCGGCCCTAACTTTTCAAGCGAACGCGGGCGGCTGCTGTTGATGGTGATGATGAGGATGGTGGTGATGGTGACGATGACACTGACGGTGATGACGATGATGACGATGATGATGGTGATGATGGTGATGATGGTTATGATGGTCATGGTGATGATGGTGATGATGACGGTGATGCTGATGATGATTGGGGCGCTGCTGAAGATGTTGATGGTTATGGTGACGATGAGGATGATGATGCTCATGATGATGACGATGATGGTGATGTTGATACTGACGATGACGAATATGATGATGGTGATGATGATGATGCTGATGATGATGATGATGATGATGATAGTGATGATGATGCCTGTGGTGGTGATGATGATGCGAGCAGTGGCAATACATCATACATATAGTTGTGAGTGTGATGATGATGTTGATGATGTTGATGTGTATGCTGCTGCTGCTGCTGACGATGCGTATGAAGGTGACGATGCTGATGGTGATGATGATGATGAGGAGGAGGAGGAGGAGGAAGAGAAGGATGATGACGATGATTACGATGATAACGATGTTGATGAGGATGATGGTGATGATGATGGTACCAATGATGATGCGAATGATGACGAATATGATGGTGATGATGACGATGATGAGTATTTGGATGAGGATGATGATGGTGATGATGATGGTGATTATGGTGTAGCTGATGGTGATGATGAATATGATGCTGCTGATGATGAGGGTGATGATGCTGACGAATATGATGATGCTGAGGATGGTGATGATGGTGATGATGGTGATACTGGTGATGATGATGACGATGGTGATGATGATGATGATGATGATGACGACGAGGGTGATGATGATAAGGATGCCGATGCTGATGATGGTGATGCTAGTGATGCTGATGACGATTATGATGCTGATGCTGATGACGAGGATGTGGTGGAGGAAGAGGAGGAGGAACATGGTGGTAATGATAAGGATGATGATGGTGGAGGCGATTGTTACGAAATCAACAACGAACGGTTTTGTGGTATTGACTGATGGATGGGATCGCCCAGCACCGCTCGTCTTCGCGTATAGCCTCCCCCCTTTCTGCTCAAGTTCACCAGCAGAGTCCTGCCACACGAAACCCCAGATGGGACCTTACCTCCCTCCCTAGTGCTGCCAAGCGCGCAGCTAATTGGCGCCAAATCCAGAGCCGGGAAGCCCAGCGGAGCGGCGCCGCAGAAGAACCCCAACGGCGGTGCCCATCGCAGAGCTGGCGCCAATGTTTGGAGCCCCTGGGGGGTCCAGCCAGCGGAGCGCCGTGCCAGACGATCCCGAAGTGGGCCTCGCCCAAGGGGGTGTCACCAAACGTAAAACAGTTTGAATTCTTCACGCTTCGCGTATCCCCACCAGCCCATCTCAAAACAGCAACTCTAGCGAAGCATGCCGACAGTCGTGTTTTTCAGGCGTATTTCCGCCTGCCCCCGCATATCTCCCCTGTTCCTCCTTCCTCCCGCCTCCTTGTACATCCTCCTTGTGGTGGGAGCGGGAGAAGGACGAGGCGGAGGAGGAGGGAGAGAAAGCGCTCCTCGTGGTTTGAGTCGTTTGGGGTTTCTCGTCCTGGTGTGAGTCGTTCGGGCCCTTCTTCCTGGTGTGAGTCGTTCGGGCTCTTCGTGGTGTGAGTCGTTCGGGCTCTTCGTCCTGGTGTGAGTCGTTCGGGCTTCTCGTGGTGTGAGTTGTTCGGGCCCCTCGTCCTGGTGTGAGTCGTTCGGGCCCCTCCTCCTGCCCGTCCAGAAACGACGCCCAGGCGAGTAGAGGGTCGTCCTGATGGGCTTTTCGGCGTCTTGGGTGCCTCGGGGGGGCCTCTTTGGGCCGTTTGGGATCCTCTTGGGGGCCTCCTGGGGGCCTCTTGGGGCCATCTTGGGGCCTCTTGGTGCCTCCTGGGCGCTTCTTGGGGCCATCTAGGAGGAAATCGATCAAAGAAGAGGGGAGCTTTAATTAGCGCTGCCCCCTCAGAAGGCCAAAATGGGGCCAAAACCTTAGTAAAATCAATGATTTTGGCTTGAAAGAAGAGGGGAGCTTTAATTAGCGCTGCCCCCTCAGAAGGCCAAAATGGGGCCAAAACCGTAGTAAAATCAATGATTTTGGCTTCAAAGAAGAGGGGAGCATTTTTCTCCCTCCCCCCGTCGGGGCCAGAATCCTCGTGAGGAGTGTCGTTTTTTAGCCCTCCCAGGAGTCGAAAAAGACCCCTCTGACCACCCGCGAAAGGACCTCTCCAGGTCCAGGGGGAGGGGGTAGGGGGAGGGGTAAACCCCTCCCCGAAGGGGAAGAAGGGGGGTTGAGAACAGAGAGAGCTCCCTAAACCACTCACGCCCAAAGGGCTGGTGGGATTCCTGGACCCCTTTGGGGGAATCCTGCGAAGATCCGGCCGACGCGGACCCAAGAAGCGGGGTCTCGCCTCCACCGGTGTTGCCAATCTCCCGACCTCTCCACGAGTCCAGGGCAACGTACCATACCTCTTCCTTAATGTCCCTCTCGTCCATCCTCGCTCCGCCCTCCGTGTCCCCGTCCCTCATCTCTCGTTCCTCTGGCCTCCCTGCCCTTGTCATGTTTACTCGCAGTCCTCCTCGTCCCATGTTCGTCCCCTGCCCCGTCTTTCCGCACCCTCCTCCCTCCGCCACGTATGTTGCCATACGTTGCAGATGGGCCGGATAGATGTCTGGCCACCTTTGCTCCGGTGCCGGTGGCATAGGGGGCTCTCGGAAGCTCGGTGCCTCTCCAGCCAGCCCTTGGGGCTCAAGAGGGGGTGCTGCAGAGCACCGCCCTGGCTGCCCGCGAAGGGCACACACGGAGCGAGCCGCCCGCAGCGAGCGTGCCACATGGCATCGCCTGCCAGCTGCCTCCGATAGGACTGCGCCTGGCGGCCACAGGTAAGACCTCGCGTTCGGGGCATGGCGACGCGCGGGCAGCAGGGCCTGCCGCACCTGGTGCAGAGCGGCAGCCTGGACGCCCTGCGGGCCGCGCTCGGGCCTTCCGCCAAGAGGTGGATCAACGTCGACCAGCAGACTCTCCTCTTCTTCGCGGTCCTCCGAAAGGCAGACTGCAAGGAGGTCTGCGAGCTGCTCATCGACGTTCACGGCGTCGACCCCAACGCGGAGGACAAGCGCGGTCAGACAGCCCTGCACTACCTCGCCAAGACCGGGCACGTGTCCTGCGTGGACCTGCTCATCTCGCGAGGCTGCAGCGTCGACCACGTCGACGAGAACCACTACCAGACGCCGCTCTTCTACGCGGCCAGGTGGAGCTCGGCAGCAAGTCATTGGAGCCTGGTATACCCTCTGAATTTTGTCTCTAGCGCCGACTAGCGTCGGTTAGCGTCTAGGAGCGCATGAGATAGCGCCGATTTAGCGTCGGTGAGCATCGATGGGCGTCGGTTTAGCGTCGATTTAGCGTCGACTTAGCGTCGATCAGCGTTGATTTAGCGTCGACTAGCGTCGATTCGCAAGAGCCGACAAGATGGTATGTGCTGCTCCCATGAGTTGCCACCGAAGGTGGAGCACGCGCCTCATGGTCAAGTGCCTCGTGGATCACAAGGCGGACGTCAACTTCAAGGACTCGAGCCAGCAGACGCCGCTGTTCTACGCGAGGAGCTTGGAGGTGTGCGAGGAGCTCCTGCGCGGCCGCGGCGACGCGTGCCTGGCCATAGACACCCACGGCGTCACGGTCGCGGAGTCGCACTGGCAGCGGCAGCAGTACGAGCTCGCCGACTTCCTGGCAACGTGCGCGGAGGCGCTCAGCCATACGGGCCGCATGACTTGGGCGGTGCTCGGCGGCGAGTGAGGGGGGTAGTGAGAAGGAGAAAGCCTTCTAAGAAGGCGGCGGGACTTCTCAGAAGGCCTGGGGACTTACGACCCTTCTGAGAAGGCCTGCCCCTTCTCACTTCCCCCCCGGGCTCGCCGCCGAGGTGCAGCGAGCTGCTGCCTCCCCTGGCGTAGCAGGCGCCCGCGGCGGCGCCAGCGGCGCCTACGGAAACTGGGAGGCGTACGCCACCTCCGTGGCGCGGGGGCGCGACGTCAAGCAGCTGTGCCAGTTGGAGGACGAGTTCGTGGAGGACCACCGGCGGGTGCTAGGGAGCGAGGTGCGAGGATCCACGAACTGTCAGAAAAGCATAGTTGCTCGGAGCCCCGCGCGGAGTTCTTGGTCGGCGCTGGGCCTCCTGGCGGCGCCTCGGGCGCCGCCCATGGCGCGCTCCGCGCGCCAGGGAGGAGGGCCCAGCGCCGATCCAAGAAGTCCGCGCGGAGCTCCGAGAAGTCACGCATGTCAGCATCTTTTGACCAACCCTTACCCCCATCCCCATCCCCATTCAGACCCCCACGATCCCACCACCCCAGTTAGGGATATACCCCTCGCGACCCGAAGGGTAACGGCCCATAGTATCCCCATCCAGGGGGGGGGGATCGGCCAGTGGGGCACGGGCCACGCCCATGGGGGGTAGGGGTCGGTTAAACGATGCTCAGCATGCTTGTGCCACTGCTGCTACTCCTCCTGGAGGTGCCAGATGCCGAATTCTGGAGCCAGATCGGCCTCAGCCCGGACGCCGCGAAGCGGCGCAGCACGATCCAGAGCATCACGCAGGCGGGCCGCGCCTTCGGGCGATATGAGGCCTTCAGTCGAGGTTGATCAGAAGGTCGACCTTGCCAAATCGCGGCTACCCTTGAGTCCTGAGCTTCTCGACCCATGCCTTCTTCATTTCTATGGCAACGTGGCCCTCGGAAGGGTCTTATGTCCTCTCCTGTGTCCTCTCCAATCAGCCACGACTGTAGATGCATGCATGCGTGAATAAGTCCTGCTATGAGGAACATATATATATATGTATATATATATATATATACCTGCACTGCCCTGTCTTCTGTTTTCGTCGCATTCGGTTTGTCTGTTTTCGTCGCCTTCGGTTCTTCCTCGTTTCTGGCCACCGGGGGCCGTTTTCAGGCCCGGGGGCCGTCAGGAACAGGCCCAGAGAAGTACACCCGGTTCTTCGGCACGACCTGCACAAGTCGCACGTCGTTTCCAGGGGGAGTTAGGGGCACGTTGTTCGGTCGACCTGGGGCCTCGCAGAATGTCACAGCAGAACTCCAGCAGGCGTCCAGGGACGTCGGGGACATCACCAAGTTTCCGTGGGGCCCTTGCTGGCAAGCCGACGTTTTCTGTGGTGTGCATCTTTCTTTGCGCCTGCGCAGGGGCGCCTCGCGGCGTGACGCCGCCGGGCCCCCAGTGACATGGACTGTGCCGCCCCTGGGACGGCCCTGCACTGGGCCTCCACTCGCATCCTCTCCATGCCTACCGGAGCCTTCAGTGGCGGCCACTGTCGCTAAGAGGGCGTGGAGAGCACCTGGTGGGGGCAGAGCTTTGCCACTGCGCAGTCCGAGAGTGGCCCGGGATGCCTCCGCAGGGGCTCCTCGGACAATGCATGACCATGTTGGCGTCTGCGGGGTGCTGCCGCGGACCTCTCGACCGGAGAGTCCGCCGGCTTTGGCAAGCTGCGCTGCCGATCTAGGAACACCGAGCCCGGGACGCTCCCAAGTCTTTGGGCCTCCAGAGGCTTCCCGGGTACAGCCGAGGTGGATTAGTAGGTCGACCCTGCCACATCAAGGGTACCCTCCTGTCCTGTGCTTCGCCACCCGTGCCTTCTACATTCCTATGGCAGCGTGACCCTCGGAAGGGTAGCAAGGCGATGGAGCAGCAGCTGGGGGTATGCCTTGCCAGAAATGGGGATATGCTTACGTCGGGCATGCCCCTCTACAGGAGGAATACTTTAAACAGTAAAACAATAGTCTGGTGATGATCGTTCGTGCTCTTTTGACTAGTTTTGACTATCTGTTTGGCTATGTTCATTTGTCTTCCAATGTCCGCCTGTAGGAGGACAGGCCCATCCGAATGATATGCAGGACAGGGTTTGTGTGAATGGGGCCCGCCCGCGGGTCTCCAGAGAATCTGCAGAGGCATCTCAGAAGACGGGGCGCAGTGGGAATGCCTTTTTCGCAGCGCCCAGGCGTGGTGACCTCGCGCCCCCCCCACCCCCAGATGCCAACAGTGTAGAAAAGCCTCCCGTCGTGATTGTCTCATGTGGGTAGCTGGCGCCACCTTGGCTGGCGGCGGCGGGGCAGGCGGGCTCCGTTGGCGCCAGCGGCGACTGGGGCTGCGGCTGCGCCCAGAGCGCCGGCGCAGCCGGCCTCCCCCCCCTCCGCAGTGAGCCTGCCCACCTCCGTCGCACGTGCTTGGTCTTAAGTCGGGCCTGTCCCCCCACAGGAGGACTTCTCACAAAATAGTTAAATGATACGCTGGGGACGATTTTTTTAAAGCATTTTTGGCAATTTCCGAATGTGTTTAACTATTTTCAATTTTTCCTCCAACATCCCCCTGTACGGTGACATGCCCGACCTAAGCTTGGTGACCAGGCCCCCCACGCCCAAAGCGCTTCGGTCGTCGCGGCATTCAAGCTCCGCCGAGGAGTCTGGCGCGCCTCCTGATCCACTCAACTGTGCGAGCGGGCTCTGCACAAGCTGTCTGGTCTCGGAGGGGCCCTCCCGTCGCCACGGATAGGCGCGGCTCAGAAGAACATGCAACGACGGGTGGCAGGGAGCCGATTTGGGGCACGCTCCTGCTGCGAGGGAAGCCATGCCAGTTTGCTTAGGGCGCTTGCAGACAAGAGGATTCAGGCAATGGCGGAGCGCCCTGACTCGCGCATGGGGTCACCAAATAATTTTCTCATAATCGTTTTGGGCTCGGCACGACGTGTTCTTAGAAGATGCATGGCTGAGACAGAGTTGTTTGATTTGTTTCAGTCGATCAGTCCTGCGTTCGAAGAACACTGCCTTGGCTCGTGGGACGTTCATCTGCTCCGAAAGGTGTCTTTGCGGGCCTACATAGGAATACCAGGACGGTCGGCCCTTACTCCACGGAAGGTGTGGGGGGTCTCGAGAGTCAGGGCTGGACCTAAACGGTGTTTTGGCGATTTCGTGGGCCGTTTTCGTTTCGATTTCGTTTTGCGGTAGAGGTGGATTGAAGACAAAACGCGGGAAAACGAAAACACAAAGAAAACGAAAAGCACCGTTTGGGTTCAGCCCTGTCGAGAGTCGCGGTTCTCCCCGCGCGGGGGTAGGGACGGGCCCAGCTGGCTGCTCGCGTGGCTTTTCCGCTGCGGCCGTCGAGAGCGATCTCCCTCAGACCCCACCCCTGCCCCCACCCCACCTCTACGCTTAGGTCGGGCCTGTCCCCCTACAGGGGGATTTCGGACGCAAAATTATGAATACCCCAAGAGTATTCCATAAATGGTCAACAATGGTCAAAAAAGTCCGCCCCAGGCTATTTTCAGATTATTTTTGAATATTCCCCTGTAGAGGGACAGGCCCGACTTAACTCTACGTTCCCGTTCGGGGAAACGTACATAAGACTTGAGTAGGCCAGAGTTCGGGTTTGCCGACTTTGTTTGACGGGCGCGCCCTGGATTTTGACGGTCCAGTGTTCGTGAGATGTTTGCAGCGGGAACTCGCGTCAATTTTCAGATTGGGTCTCGTCATTTTCACGATGGCCCCGTCAGGCCAACCCGAGTCCCCCAGGCCCGTCTTACGTCTCCACGATTTTGGGGAGTTTGGGAGGCTTCTTAGAAGCACCCCTGCTTCTTCTTCGACGGCGCGGGCCTGGTCGATAGATGCAGGGCCAGCGCCTTCTAAGAAGCAGTTTCCTGCTGAGCAGCCTCTTCGACGGCGCGGGCCTTCTCGATAGATGCAGGGCCGGCGCCCGTGCCCGAGCCTCCCAGTCGGCCTGGATTGGTGGGTCGACCCTGTCAGCTCAAGGGTACCCTTGTGCCCCGTGCCTCGCGACACGTGCCTTCTTACACTCCTATGGCGATGTGGCCCTCGGAAGGGCCTTGTGTCCTCTCGCGTGTCCTGTCCAATCAAGGCCGACTGTACGTCCCCCCGGCCCGCAGGTGACCAAGGGCTCGGGCAAGCGGCACTACACCCTGAAGTGCCTGCACCTGCCCCCCAACCCGCAGCGCCAGGCCGGCCCGCCGCGCCTCCGGGCGTGCCGCGTGGCCGGGTACTCGTGAGGGGAAAAACACAGACGCAATTGATCGTCGACTCCCAGGAAGATATGGGAAGATATGGGAAGTGGGGGGAAGACAAAACCCAGAAAATACGGGAAGATATGGAGGATCCTGCTTTTTGTGTGTATTAATGTGTGTTTGTGTGTGTGTGTGTGTGTGTGTGTGTGTGTGTGTGTGTGTCCCAGGGCCCCTTCAGGTACGTCTACTTCAAGATCTGCGAGGGCGACCGAGACCGAGAGGAGATCCGGTGGCTCAGAGATCGTGGCACCGCTCGGGCGTGCAGGTCTTATTCGGCGGGATCCACCGAGAGCATCCTGGCTCCTCCTCCTCCTCCTCCTCCGCCCCTCCTCCTCCTCCTTCTCCTCCTCCTGCTTCTCCTCCTCCTCCTCGTCCATCCTTGCGACATAGAAGCGCGCGGGGCCGAAAGGCGCACGTGGAGTGGGCGTCCGAGCGATGGCAAGAGGTAGGATCCTGAGGGATGGGGTCCTGAGCACGGAGGGCCTCAAACAGTGTAAATCCACCCTTGGGCCCCGTGTGGTCGTGTTCTTATCCATTGTTTTGCCGAGCGGCGCGGGACCTCGCACCCCCCCATCCCCCCCCATGGAGTAGATCTTGGCTGTTTGGGGCGCCTGTGTCGAGCAGGTGGAGTCTCCCCCCAGAGGACGCCCTGTTGCAAACAGTCGTACTAAGCAGAGGTCCAGAGCCAGACTGCCCCCATCCCCCCCTCTCCGCCCAAAGTCGAAGCGCCGAACAAGAAAGCGCTCACCTTCCTGTCCTTAGGGCCCGATCCCTCGGGACCCCACGTGAACCACCGAGGAGAGCGCCGGGACGCGCGGCGCCCGCGCCGCTGGCGCTGAGCTGGCCAGCCAGGGGGGCAATGCCGTGTGGGCGGAGACGGGCCAGGGTCGTCGTTTTCTTTTTCTCTTGCACAGCTGTGTTCTAGAGGTCGGACCTCTTTATTTTCGTTCGTCGTCGTCGTTCGTTCGTTCGTCGTTCGTCTTCCCCCCCCTCCCTGGCCACAGAAGTAAACTCCTGGAGGAAGGAGGCGAACGCCTCCTGTCCCTCGCAGCTCCTCGGTGCAAGAGCCAGGGCACGCGTGCCACGTGTTCCTTGTTTTGCCGATCGGCGCGCGCGGGCCCTTGCACCCCCTCCCCCCCCCATGGAGTAGATCTTGGCTGTTGTGTGTGGCGCCCATGTTTCGAGCAGGTGGAGTCTCCCCCCCAGAGGCAGCACTGCTGCAAACAGTCCCCCTCCCCTTCCTTTCCGCCCACTGCCGAGACGCCGAATACGAAAACGCTCACGTAGTTGGAGCCGGCTGAGGGCCTGAGGTGGTCCAGCATTGGTTCCGACGAGCAGGAGGGCAGGGCGAGGTTCGAGGTTCTGGGCTCGAGAAGGTGTTGTTTGCTTTGTTTTGCCTTTTTCTGCCTCCGGGAGCCGTTTTCGGGTGTTTTTGGGAGCGTCGAAACACGAATCCGGGGCGAACAAGAACTTCACCAGGTGGTTCCCCCGGGAGGGGTCCGAGGACAGCTCGCGAGCGGATTTGGCCCCGCCCTCCCCTCTTGATCGGTTATCTTTAAGTCGGGCCTGTCCCGCAACAGGAAGAAGATTCAAACATAGTTTTGACATAATCCGGACACGATTTCTTTTACTATGTTTGACATTTTTGTTGGCATGTTTCCATGTTTGCTATTCTTCCCCTCGAATCCACCTGTAGGAGGACATGCCCGACCTCAGGTTATCCGGGGCCCGATCCAGTTCAGACCCCCGGGCCGCCTCCAAGCCAGGATGTCAGCCACGCGCAGACCCAGACACGATCGCGCCGTCAAAAAATCGGGACGGGAGGTCTCGGGTCGCTTTCGGCTTCGGGGAGCCCTCGCCAGGCCTCGGGACCGTCAAGCAACGGTTCAGGACGAAAAACGGTCCTGGGGAAAGGGAAAGGACCCTGTATTGAAAAAATGAGGACGCCGCATGTCTGGGGAGGGGGGTGGGGAGGGGGGGGAGGGCTTCTTAGAAGCACCCCTGCTCCTTAGAAGGCACGGGCCGCATCCATGGGTATAAGGCGGGCGTCTTCTGAGAAGCAGCCTCCTTCTTGAAAACCCTCCCTCCCTCCATCCCTCATGTGCGCGCCGCCAGTGCCAGGCTGGCGCACAGAGCACCCGGGCCCACATCGTCGTCTCGCACCTGAAGGTCAACGCGGAGCACCAGCGGCGGGGCGTGGCCACGCTGTTGCTGGCCGGGATGCTGCAGCTGGTGGAGACGGAGCACGGAGGCATCGGCATCTCTCAACCGATCCCTGTCTCAATCCCTCGAGCAGGGGATCGACTACAGAATGCATCTGCCCCAGTATTGATTTCCCCGCCGAGTCGACGAACGAATGCGTAGAATGCTTCGCAGGTCTACGGGGCATTCCACGTATTTGTCGTGGGTTCGGCGAACAGACCACTTTTTGAGTAAGTCAATTCTGTAGTCGATCCCCCACTCGAATCCAGATCCCCACCATCCCACCACCCCAGTTGGGGATGTGCCCTTCGAGACTCGAAGGGAAACAGCGACATCCCCATCTTGGGGGGGGGAAATCGGCCAGTGGGGCCCAGGCAACGCCCGTGGGGATGGAGGGGCGATAGAACACGGTTAGGGGAACAAGCAGTGACATAAACATACAAATTCGGAGGTCCGCGCGGATTTCTTGGATCCGCGCTGGGGCCCCCCCTCCTTGGCGCACGGAGTGCGCCAGGGGCGGCGCCGGAGGCGCCGCCAGGGGGCCCCAGCGCGGATCCGAGAAATCCGCGCGGACCTCCGAGTTGTTATGTTTATGCCACTCTTCGTTCCCCCAACGGTGCTCAAGGTTTTGACCTCAGCCACCTGTACCTCTCCGTCGTCGCGGAGAACGCCTCGGCCGCGGCGCTGTATCGCAAGCTCGGGTTCGTGGAGACCTACCGGGACGGCGAGACGGTGGAGTGGCTGCACATGAAACTGGTGCTGGCCGCTGGCTGTGAGGGCGCGCCAACCAGCGCGGCGACGAGAGACGCATGGCTGCACCGCGTGAGGGGTACGAGCGGCAGCTTGGCCAGCGACGGCGTCCAGCCCAAGCAGCAGCAGACCAAGCGGAAGCAGGTTCAGGTCTCGAGCAGGCTCTCGAGGCGGAGGCTGGAGGTGAAGACGCCCACATCCGCAGGGGCATCGGCACTGTCCACAGTAAGTTCCACGTCGGCAGGGGGCACCACGATGGTTTCAGGCTCTTCTTTAGAGTCGGCGCGCCGTGCAAACTACCCGACGCTGTCCTACTGAGTTGCCCTCCCACTGCCGGTTTTGCGGGCCCAGGTGCTCGTCGTCCTCCTCCTCCGCCTCCGAAGGCGCCAGTGCCCCACCGTTCTAGAAAGAGGAGAGGGCAGCTAGCTGGCCGTATCCATGACACGCCATCAATGCCGACCTTGCTTGGGCGCCCCTGTGCGGATAAGGGGTCCGCAGCGAGGCCCAGTTAGAGTTTTGCGTAGACATGTGGTGCTGTTGTTCGCTGGAACAAACAATGAAGCACCACACCTGATGCCCCCTCGGGTGAGGGCGGAGCTGAGTAGTGCAGGTTAGAATGGCACAGTAGGTCCGCCCGATGGCGTGACGAGCTCGATCCACAGATTGCATCCCACGTCGTCTCTCCAAGCGTCCTTGTTCGTTTGCTGTTTACTTGGCAACGCTATGCCATGCTGTCCCATGCTGAAGTATACTCTGCCGTACCAGCCGTTGCGTTGCCGTGCTGTGCTATGCGATGCTGTTCGATTGCGCGGAATGCTTGTCGGCCATGATCCGTTACATGTTGTGCTGTGCTCTGCAATGCTTTACCATATCGTAATGTGCGCTTCAGCACAAATCATAGCAATCTACCTGTACGCATTCAACTGAAAGTGCACCCCTTGTTTGGGTCGCGCAGAATGTGTTCAGGGAAAACGGGTTGCACAAGAAAAACATCCTTCCCCCCAAGGAGCAGGTCTACGACATTTACCGTTACCTTCCACCTTCGACGCAGGTGGTACTTGTTTCCGCCACGATGCCGCACGAGGTCCTCGAGATGACCCATAAATTCATGAACAACCCTTTTCGCGTCCTGGTCAAGCGTGACGAGCTGACGCTCGATGGGATCAAGCAGTTTTTCGTGGCGATCGAGCGTGAGCAGTGGAAATTCGACACCCTCTGCGACCTCTACGACACCCTCACCATCACGCAGGCCGTGATCTTCTGCAACACGAAGCAGAAGGTGGACTGGCTGACGCAAAAAATGCGCGATGCGAACTTCACGGTCGCTGCGATTCATGGAGACATGCCTCAGAAGGAGCGTGACGCCATCATGCAGCAATTCCGATCGGGGTCTAGCCGCGTGCTGATCTCCACCGACTTGTGGGGTCGCGGGCTCGACGTGCAGCAAGTATCGCTCGTGATATGCTACGACCTCCCGAACAACCGCGAGCTTTATCCGGCTGCCTGCGGCAAGTCTCGCCACCGTGCCAGCCCAGTAATCTCGGAGGCAGCTGTTCGAGGGGCGACAGGGGGCCGTAGCATGTGAACCGTGCGGAGGTTGGAGTACTGGTCAGAACGCCGCCACATGTGATACCTCGGCCGTTTTGAGTTCAGTTTGGGTAATTTGAGGTCGTCCTGGGTCTGAGTAGGAGGATGAATGAAGCGACGGTGAAGGGGGGGTTATAGAGGAGGCAAAAGGGGAGGAGTAGGGGGAGGAGGAGGAGGAGGAGCAACAGAAGGACGAGGACCATCGCAGTGCACGAGCGCGATGTGGAACATCACGACGGCGACGATGCCGAGGAGGAGCTCATTTTGGGGCCGCCTTGGGGCCGCCTTGGGGCCGCCTTGGGTTCCAGTGGGGCAGTCCTGGTGTCGATTGAGGCCCTCTTGGGACCTTCTGCGGCCCTCGTGGCCGTCTGCGAGGTGTCCCTGAGGCCGTCTCGGGCCGACGAGGGGCTCCCTGAGGCCGTTTTCGGAGCTCGGGGGGCTCTCCTTAGGACCGTCTACGGTCAGGGGAGGGAAAACCACCCATACCCCGACAATTGACGTTTACTAAGCGGCCCTGCGAATCTACTAAACAGTCCTGCCCTGCTCGATTCCCTCCCAGGGTGCGTTTACTACACGGCTAGGCCTGTCGGGGTGATTATTTTGGGGGTGGATGTTCTGCCCTCGTCGACGGGCCCTCGCCTGCTGTGTCGAGACGGTCTTGAAAGATGATTGGGCCATGTGGGGGCCCGTGTTGGGTCGTCTTGTGGCCATTTTGGAGGCCTCCAAGGCCAGTTGGGGTTTAAGGAACCCGAATGATGAAGACGCGAACAACAGTTCTCAAATACCAATAGAGGTTATCCGGGCGAAGGGCCCAACCATATGCAGTTGCGAGTCCCGCAAGCCAGCCGGCACGAATGAGAAGGAGGCGAGCGAACTGCGAATAAAGTAGGAACCGACCTTCGCATAGGCAGCACGCCAGAAAATTGACGGAGCACAGGGCAGCGGACGGGTCAGGAGCTACTTGTATTGCGAGGGAGTTCGATCAGCGAGAGCGTCGCTGATACCGCGTATTTGAGGGGCACGGAAATCACTCATGGAGCATTCGGTGGAGCTCTCTTGATGATGCTACGGAGCGCGTGAGGGGTGTGCCGAAATCACGGGGCGGCCGCCGTGCGAACCTTGCCACCAGGGTCTTCGGTGGAGCTCCTGATAGGTCCAGAAGACGTTTTAGGGGCGAGCCGAACTGAGAGGGGGGGCGCATGCGACCCCTGTAAATTGGGTAATTCGTTGGCGCTCGCTATAAGGACACGAAGCTTGTGAGGGATTCTCCGAAATTTGCGACGGGGACGCATGCGAATTTTCCTGCTGAAGCCTTCGGTAGCTCCCTTGGGGGCCACGAATCGTGCGAGGAGCGTGCTGCAGTGTGAGGCGGGGACGCATGTGGACGCAGCCACTGGTGCCGTAGGTGAGGCTCCCGATGTGGCCACGAAGCGTGCGACTGTTGTGCCGAAATGAGAGGTGCGGACGCATGTGAACGCAGCCACTGTGGCCTTAGGTGGAGCTCCCTATGGTGCCACGAAATGCGTAAGGGATGTGCCGAACTGTGCGGCGGAACGCATGTGAACACAGCCACTGGGGCCTTGGATGGGGCTCCCTGGGGGGCCCCGAGCCGCGTGATACGTGAGCCGAAATGTGCGGCGGGGACGCATGTGAACGCAGCCACTGGGGCCTTCGTTGGAGCCCACTATGTGCTCACGAAGCGTTACTCAAAACCCTCTCAGCCTCAGAGGATTTATGAACAAACACGCTGATCCTTCTGATAGTCTGGCTGATCCCTGTGTCCTCCTGCCACTCCTCCTCACCCTCTCTGCCAGCTTCTTCTTTCGGGCCAGACTGGTGTCAGTCTGGCACGCGGCCTAATACCAGCCTGCTTGTGTGCTTCCCTCTCTCTGGCTCTGCCTCCTGTCCACCTTTACCTGGATTCGGAGCCATCGCAGGGTTTTGCTTTCAGCGCCGTCAAGTCGGCATCGGTCGGCCACGCTCGCATGAAAGCCTGCTGAGGTGATTTGCTGTGCTGTCCCGCTCTCGAGTGTTTGCTCGTGGTGTGTACGACAGGGATCGCCTGGGGCAGCGGAGTCTTCCTCCTGGGTTGCCTGATTGAAATTGGAAAGTGTGGCCACGAAGCGTATGAGCGGTGTGACGACATCTGGCTGATGATGTTGACAGTGTTGATGTTGATGTTGGGGCTGATGCTGATATTGCTACTGATGCTGCTGATGCTGATGCTGATGTTGATGATGACGGTAATGATGATGATGATGATGATGATGATGATGATGATGATGATGATGATGTTGATGACGATGTTGATGATGATGATGATGATGCTTATACGGACGACGACGTTGATGACGATGCTGACGAAGATTATGATGTGATGTTGATGATGGTGATGATGCTGGTGTTGGTGATGATGCTGACGATGCGATGATGATGGGGATGAGGATGAGGACGATGCTGATCATGCTGATGATGTTGATGATGGCGATGATGACGATGACGATGCCGATGCCGATGACGGTGATGATGCTGCTGTTGTTGTTGGTGGTGATGATGCTGGTAATGTTTGACATTGATAGTGATGCTGGTGATGATTATGATGATGATGATGGTGAAGACGACGAGGATCATAATGATGCCGACGATCAGGATGAGGATGAGGATGATGATGATGGTTATGATGATGCGGATGATGTTGATGCTGATGATGCTCATGCTGAGGATGACGGTGGTAACGCTAATGGCGATGAGTATGATGATGCTGCTGCTGAGGATGATGGGTGTGGCGATAATGATGACGAGGACGAGAAATGAGAGGGAGGAGGGAAGGAAAGAGGATGCTGGCCACCTGCGGCTGCACAGCGAGGACGCGAAACCACAGGATGGACCCAGCGCAACTCCAAGAACGGGTGCTCTTTCATCCAAAACAATTGAATGCAGTGGTGAACAATGCAACTGATTGAAATGCAAAGCATGGGCAATTTGGTATTATTTGCCGACGTGTGGCACTGCTTCGCGTCGCTTGGCATTGCTTGGCGTTGATGGTGATGCTGCTGATGATGATTATGGTGTGATGATGATGGTGATGATGATGGTGATGGCGAGGATGATGGTATTGTTGATGGTGATGAAGATGTGACGAGCATGAGGATGAGGGTGAGGATGAGGACGATGATGACCGTGTTGATGATGATGATGATTATGCTCATGATGCTGATGATGATGACGATGATGACGATGATGACGATGACGATGACGATGACGACGATGATAGTGATGATGATGATGCTGATGATAATGATGATGGTGGTGGTGATGATGGTTAAGGCGACGACGATCATGATTGTGCCGACGATTAGGATGAGAATGGGGATGAGGATGATGGTTCTGATGATGCGGATGAGGCTCATGCTGAGGACGACGGTGCTAATGGAGTTGAGCATGATGATGCTGTTGATGGTGATGATGATAAAGACGATGGGTGTGGTGATCATGATGACGAGGACGACAGATGAGGGGGAAGAGGGACGGAAAGAAGATGCTGGCCACCTGCTAATTCAAAACAAGGACGCAACACCACAGGATGAATCCAATGCGACTCCAATTACGGGTGCTCTTTCGTCCTCTTTCGTCCAAAACAATTGAACGCCATTGTGGACCATGCAACTGATTGAAACGCAGAGAACTGGTAGGCATTCTTTGGCGACGTTTGGAATTTCTGTGCGTCGCTTGGAATTGCTTGGCGTTGATCGGCATTACTTTGCGTTGCTTGGGTTCGCACGGTTTGGCGTTGCATGATAGTGCTTGAAATCGCTGCTTGGAATCATTGATTGGCAATGTTTTTCATTGCTTGGCGTTGCTTGGCATTGCTTGGCATTGCTTGGCAGTCCGTTCCATTGCTTGGCGTTGCTTTGGAGCCTGGCATTGCTTGGCACCGTTTGGCACTGCTTGGCACGCTTGGCATTAGTCGGCATTGCTTGGAACTGCTTGGAATTACTTGGCAGTTCCTGGACTCGCTTGATTTTGCTCGGTTTTGCTTGGCATTGCGTGGCGTTTAATAGCGTTGTTTGCCATTGCTTGCCGTTGCCTGGCATTGTT